AATTTATAATTTTTTTGTAGGGTCAATATTGTGGCTTATATAGCAAACAGTAATTCCTCATCTTTAATGAGGTTATAAGACTTAAACTTAATAGCATCCAAAAATGTATAACTTAACCCCTTTATTCACTGGCCTTGTAGAAATTTAATACAAATCACAGAGCTGTTTTCCCTTTAACAAAACTTGCCGTATTGCAGTCTGTTCAAGGCTTACAGTATTCACCTCTTCTAAGAAATAAGGAAGGAGAAAGTTAAAGTTTCTTCACACTCTTACTTATTTTTATGTCCTTGTAATAACAAAAATATAGAAAAAAGCACAAAGATGAGCATAAGAGAAAGGAGTAAAAGAAAAGGGTGTGTGTGTCTGCCTTATAGACATAAAAGCCCATCATTAACTCACTGTCTTGATGTTGTCGGAACTGGCCTGGAACTGAGCAATTCAGGTCCAGAAAAGTTCACATGTCAAATAAACCTCCTTCTGGAGGGGTGAGAGGAATATTGATGTTCTTTCTCCCTCGACATTCTAATTTAAACATCGTCAGTGACACAAGATCCTAAAGCTTATAGTGCTTTAGTGCTCTTAGCAGGCAGCCATGTCCCCCAGAAGTGATGAAGGGAGCTTTGAATCTTGAAAACTTATACCCTGAAAATCTCATCACATCAACAGGTTTATACAGGAAAAACCAGTGGTCTTTATCTTATGCTAAATCTTTCTAACGTAAGCATGTGATGATCGTCCATAAATGATAGGTTCCTAACTAGTAGCGAAAAAACCAAACAACAGTGTCTAAAAATGCGTCTGATATGGGCTGTTTATGTTCTTAAGAAAGATTAGAAGGACAAATTTAACTTTTACTTGAAAGGCAATAAATCCAGTATTTCAGCAAGCACTTTAATTAACTGTCCAGGATAAAAGAAAAACCTTATGCAACCAGATTGACCATACAATAAACCTGACACAATCTGCCAACCTCATGGAAACATGCAGGATCACCAAGAACACTTACGATTTAATCAAAATCCTGCCAAACCCGCCCCCCCCAACACTTCCTTGCTGCCTTCCCAGTGAGATCTATTTCAGGCTTTATTCCAGGCCCATAGCTAACGCGGGGGCCATGGGGCCCTCCCCCCGCGGTCTTTGTGAACCCACTTCCCCAATCCTCAGCTCCTCCTCCCTCCGCCGGCCCCCTCACCCCGACCCCCGGCTCTAGATGGCTGGGCTCAAGGTGAAGACAGCCCAGGGGAACAAGCAGACGGCAGGGTTTGGCCCTGTGTCAGCTTCCACTGGGCTGGGCGGGGTCTGGTTGGGCGCTTCTCGCCGGGTACTGCCACCACCTCCTATATGGAAAGCCTGAACACCAGGTCGTCACGTCACAGTAATGGCGACGAGGGTAGTCATAACATTCCCTGTGTGGTTATGTGGGGCTAACCTGAGGGCTGCTGTTAAGTGTGAATCACACCCTGTGTAATGATTTCAGTTAATTGGTTGTGTTCCTTTAAATGTTTTGTTGAATATAGCAGAGTTAGAGAGCTTGGAGTTAAGAGTGTGAGAATTTGGCAGTTTGACTTCAGTTGAAGGAGTGTTCGGTTGGAGAAAGACTTCAGTGAAAGGAGTCTAGTGTTGGCAGTTGGTATGAGAGCTGACAGAAAGTTAGGTTGTTGGCACTTTGTCAGCCAAAAAAGTGGAATAAACAGACAATCAGGGCATTCTGAACAGAGTAAAGAGAATTGCCTAAAACTTATATTGTGCTTCATAACCACGTGAATGAGAGAAATTCATAATGGAAAGAATAGCTAACCTGAGGGATGTTGTTAAGTGTGAATCACACCCTGTCTTAAGCGAAATATGTAGTTGTTGGGAGTTTCAAGTTGCTTGCACTTTAGTCATTAGAGTTGAGTGTTGCTTGTTAGGAAACAGGATGTTACGTAACGTATTCTACGTGAAAGTTTGTGGGAGTTGTTTACTCTAATGAAGTGATCTGTAACCTTTGTAGGTCAACTAACAACTTGTTTGTGGAAATGCTTTGATCTAGCATTCATGTATTCACAAGGTTTATGGCTCTTTGTGTGAAGCAGACAGGAAGCTTCCCTCTTAGAAGCTGACACAGGTAGCTGTTAGCATTTAGTGCAGAGAGTAACTGAAAGTATGTAACCTTTTATTTTATTTCTTTTATCCAAAGTACCTTACCCATGCTTTATTTTGTTTTATAGTAAAGATATTTTTCTTTTACTAATGTGGCTCTTGTGTTTGCAAAACGACCATCGATCTTGAATCTCAGAATCCCAACAGTAGTGAACTGTAGTGTACTGTGGTGAAATCTTATTGAAGCAGTCTGCTAACTTTAAACCACTCCATCGCAATCGTCAAGGGT